TGTGTGTGTGTGTGTGTGTGTGTGTGTGTGTGTGTGTGTGTGTGTGTATGACAGCAAAAAGGAGAGGAAAAGATGGATAGGCAAAGCTGCTATATTGAGACTTATGTACATGGAGATGAAATGACCATGTCATCTGCATGCTGCATAAAGCGTCACCTCTGAATGGATGAACAAAGTGTTCTCACACTTAAACACACGCACACACATGCCTCAGCTTGTCTGGCTCTCTGAAAACACCTATGGGAGAATACTGAGTTTTCAGAGCTGCAACGTGGAATAGCAAACTAGGCTAAGATTGTATTTAACAGCAATACTTGCAGAGCAAAGTATATAGCAAAGATCACTAGTGACTACAACATCAAGGACAAGTAATATCTGACATGACAGTGTGGCTTCATGGGAATGCCCTGTGACAGCTGACAAACACACGGTTCATTTATGTGAAAAGGTAAAGTGTGACAGACTTATGTACTTGCTGTTGAGACCTTGTGTGCACATTCTTGAGTGTTTACTTGTACATTTCTGAGCCATTCAACCTGCCACGTTAGTAGAGCAATGTATTGACTATTATATTCAAAACGGTCACACACAAAGACATAAACACCACTTCACATGCACTGGTGGAAAGCAACTGCATACACTTACTCATGTACTAGTTACTTTCCAGATTGAGATTTTATATAAGACAACATATGATACATTTGTATAATACATTGCCTTGTTAAGGATTAAGCTTTATGGCTCGTGGCATTTTACAAAAACGCAATGTCTAGTCGGGGCCCTTTGTCTCTGAGTTGGTGTCAGTTCCACTAAAGAGATATATCCCCTCTGAACATGCCAGATTGTTTTATTTTGATAATGGTTTGGGGTCCAAATTATCCAAGATTTGAGAAAAGTCCCCAAAAAATGTTCATTCGTACTTTTACTTTTTAAACTTTAGGGACATTTTGCTGATAATATCTTTGTACTTAGGATTTTGAATCCAGGACTTTTACTTGTTATGGAGTATTATTCCATTCATTTATGGGTTTACTTAAGTAGAAGATCTCAACACTGCCCACATGTTGTCTTTGATAGATAAAGGGAGATAAATAGATACATTTGAAACTCTCTCATGTCTCTATGTACAGTTTGAAGATATGCTGCAAAGTGAACTTACAAGATCAAGAAGCAGTTCATCTTCTTTTCATGCTGGCGTTTGGTCTCACTAAAGCCTAATAACACAGTGTCGTCATTTTGTTAGAGCAGAGGTTTCTCACCGCTTTCATTACAGGACTCAAGTGATTTAATGCAGTCTCACCCTGGAAACCCAGCCTCGTTAAAACACGTCACGTGTGGAACCAACTGAAACTGGGACACGAACAAGTCTGGGTCAGAACCAGTGGTTTCAGAAATGTTGACTAAGAGTGCTGCTGTTCAAAAATGTTACATTTCTTAGAGTCACTGTACTCTTTTCAAGAGCTTATAAGCAGCTTAGATCAGTGGTTTCTAAACCCCTTAGTGTGTGCGCCTCCTCTTCACAGGTTACATTTGTTTGTTTGTTCAGTTGTGAAAGAAAAGAAAAGATAATTTGCTGTGTCAAAAAGATGTTATTTCTATGCTATCCTATCACGTTTAGCTTTGTCTTGTGACCTCCTTGTTTTGATCTCAACCCCCAAGTTGGGAACCGCTGACCTAGTTTGTAGCTTGGCCAGCTTATTTTTTTATTTATCTAACGTTAAAAAACGTTACAAGCCTAAGGGCTGTACAGTTCCACAATGCGTAGAACACCTTTTGTCATTCAACTGAATTCAAACATTATCTCCAAAACTGGATTTGCAGGGACGTACACAACAAAGCCAGCGTGTTGCCTAACATGTCATGTCAGTTACCAATGAATATGCATTTCTTATAGACTTGATGGCTTTGCAACTGAATCCATGGTCTGAATCTCAATTTGCTATGAGGGTGCATCTAATACTCAATGTATACTTTGCATGTTCTTGTGATTTATACATTCACTTTCTTTTACTGAGTAATGCCATATTTCTCCCCCAGGCGATGGACCTGTACTACCACAATCAGTCAGACGCAGACAGCTACTGTTGCCCTGGTGAAAACAGTAAGTCCCCGGCAATTAAACCTGTACTTTTGTATTCTTCCACTTCCTCCTCTCCTTCCTTCTCTCCTATCCATCTTTCACACCGTGACTCTCATTCCTCTGTTATCTCTCTCCGTCAGTCCTAGGTCATTTCTCTTTATTGTCCGCAGTTTTGTTTATTTTCACCTCATCATTCCAAAATAATCCTCTACCATTCATTCTCTGTTTTTCTCTTGTTTGTCGTTTGCTTTCCGTCCAAACGTGATGGCTGTGGGAGCAAAATGATTCAGCCTGCACACACACTGTGCAACTTTAACTCACTTCACTGTTCTAATCCAACCTCTGAGCTCCCATAATAACTGTTGTCCATAAACCAAGATTACTATTGTGTTGTTTTGTGGAAACTGGCCTGGAGAGCAAAACAGTACTTACAGACATAATACTGAGTGCTGATCATCATCACACAGTTACCTTTCCCATATCTGTTCACAGCTTTTGTCATTCGCTGCAGTAGATTGTTTCTGTCCCTGGGTTAAAGTCCAGCATCGTTTTATAGCCAACATGACTGTAAGTGACTGGTTTTAATTTTCCACCATGCCCTTTATTTGTGCCACAAACCACAGTCCAAACCAAAGTACACAGCATGTGTGCGTCTCATGCTTTGGCTTAAAGCCTATAAATTCCTTTTTTTATTGCTACCTTTACCTTTGCTGGGAATTTAGCATGAGCTCTGTGGGCATGTGTGTGTTTGAGCTCACCACATATCATTTTTAGCAACACTTTCCTTTAATTTGGACTCAAAAACAAATCTAATTCTGTGCTGTCTTTAAACTGCAATAGTTAGCAGATGAAAACTAATATTTGACATTTAATTTCTAATGCATTGCTATAACATTGTTTTACTATTTAATGTAGGACCATTCATTTCCGCTCTTCATAGCCCGGCGGTCGCGTGTGCTTTTATTGCATTTTAGTGCATGTGAGTGTTCCCCACTGGCTAGCTAATCGTCGCCACTCTGCACTGCTCTCATGCAGTGGTTACAGCTGACAACACCATTTCGGTTGATAATGCCGTCGATGCTGAAGTGTTGGATTATAATTACCAAGGCATTAATGTGTAAGTAGTATTTTACTGTTGTAGATGGTCGAGGCCTAACACATTTTCTAATCTATACACTGTTGGGTACTTTAACCTATAATATTGTATTATATTATGTTATATTATTATTTTTTAAATTCACAGGAGCATTAAATGGAGATACTCTAAGTACAAGTACGCTCTGTGCTACTGCAATAACAAAACTTTGTGGCAAATGTGCAGGTACCTGCTGCCTGCTGGAACATCTCTCAGAGAGAAATGTGAAAACCATATCAACCATAACAACACGCATAACACCCATGTTCAGATTAAAATGTTTTTCACTGGGAGTCGCCTGCCTGTTAATTATGGGAGTTTTCGGCACATCGAAAGACATCCAAGCAATTAGCCAAGCTGGTGACAAGCTGTTTCTGTGGCCTCGGCAGCAATGCTGCTACACCCGGTTGTTCCGAGCTCAGCAATTAGTGGCTTTCCGAGCACAAATAAAGTTTGTCGCATATGAGTTATTTACAGTGATGCAGTGATGTGTGTGACAGAAGGAGCAGCAGAGAGCAACGGCCGAGTGCCAGGGATGGATACGGTAATAATACTTATAGGGAATAGAGTTCTGGCTGTCCAATTTCACAGAGGAACAAACAGCAAACTGTGTGTTCTCTCACTGTGTTCTCATGTATGAAAGAGCATCTGCTGAGGATGCTCTCATTAAAACAAGTTAGTACGCTCATCATCTTGCTAAAGAGCAGTTGATCAGCATTTAAATGCTGACTTATTGTATAGTGCTCTTCTTCCTGAGATGCCAACATGTTTAGTTTATATGACGTGTGACTATATAGCCTGAGCATGTGTGTGTTCTCTTTTGTTCTCAGTGATTTAAAAATAATATCAACATAGCAGCTCCCTCTCTGAAGCTGTTGTTTACTCTTTTCTTCCACCATTCATGACACATCGCTCACCTGTGTCAACCTGCCCTTCTTAAAGGCAAACGTACACACCTACGCACGCAAATGTCCTCAAACTGTACTTAATAATCCTTAATTAAAGGCACTCCCAAACCAGAGTCAGTTTTTAGAATCTGAACATGTTGTTTTTTTCCATTATACCCTGAAGATTTGCAGTTAGACAGATTTAGTTGTGTGTACTGTATTCAAGGGCTGCCAATGACATAATCCCTGTTGCCTCCAATACAACCTAAATCTAGCCTTAATCCAGTAGCCAAATCCTTGCCTTTCTTTGCAAAAATGCTCTCACATATTGGGGCGTCCAGACGGCCAAAAACGGTGAAGAACGCAAGTTTTTCCACTTCACGTACTTCTGGATCTTTTTTGCATTTCATTCCCCATCTTTTCCCCCCCATAACTTACTGCCATTTCTCTACTGTCGCTACATAATAGGCATACAATACCCCAAAAACTTGTTTTCAACTTTCTTAATTTTAGCTTTTAAAACCTAAGAGTTCCTAGAAATAGTAACAGAAGTATTAGAACACACTATACATCTTTTTTAAATATATATTCATAGCTTCCTGTTGACTTACTGGACAACATTTCCTGGAAAGAACAGAAATTCTGAGAAAATAGAGACAAAGTTCTGAAACAATACGGTTTTGTTAAGTTCATAAGCAGCTTTGTATTTCTTTAACATGACTTCTCCATTATAACCCAGGTAAACCGGTTTTCCTTGATTATTTATTTCCATATGTGTTTTCATTTTTCGTTTAGCTGACCTGCTGTGCACTGACTATATACTAGCAATTAATTGAGAATTAAATAATTGCTAGTGTGCTTCCAAACTAGCAAATCTCTAGCAAATTATTACAAAACTCTGCGACCTAAAAAAATAAAGTGTTGCCAAACACACAGACCAGGAGTTACCTCTAACAGACAGAAGCCCAAGAATATCACATTTCAAACTGTTTGGTAGCCTGGCTAGCCAAACAATCAACACACACCGGTGGCAAAATAAAAGCCTAGCTGTCCTCTCTGAATGGCCGAGGCCTTTATGTAATGGTGTCATCTGGTTTCTCACCACCGAGGCTCATTCACATTCAACGCCAGATCAACTATAGCCACAAACATCCTCATCATCCCCGGCACAGAGAGCGGACATTATAAGACGGAGGGATTGGTGGACGAAAGAGATGAAAGGATTTAAGGGCTGGATGTCATCTGCCAGAAGACAGCATGAATACGGAGATATGTTACTCTTTGTGTGTGGGTATACTGTACGTGTTTATACTACAACTCTAATATCCTGCACCTCAACCCCACTGGCATTGCAGCTAAACCTCTTTCTGTCCTTGTATGTGTGTGTGTGTGTGTGTGTGTGAGTTAGTCAATTCCGGCTTTGGCATTGATGACAGTTCCACTAGTGGGTTGCATAACGGACTAGTGTCTCACATACAGGCACAGAAAGGCAACAAACACACAGCTTGAGTATTGTGGAGCCTCCTCTTGTTCAGGGCCCAAGCAGTCTGCCAATCCAAAAGGGATAGAGGGCCAGATAGGAAAAAAACTGAGTGGACCTTGTACTGCTCTCTCTCTCTCTCTCTCTCTCTCGCTTTCTCTCCTGATCTTACTTAACACCTCTCTCTCATTTCATCCCGGGGTATAACCACAGATGCAGACACAAGAGCAGTGCTCACATCCTGGCGAAGGTAACGTCTTCTTCATGGTCACTTTTAATCTTCACCTGTCACATATTTTAGTGGTTATTACTTGGAGGGGAAATGCAAAAGTAGCTGCTCATCATTCAGAATTTAAAACCAGTTTGCTTCTGTACATCTGTGTGCACGTTTTCAAGGGCATCGCCTTTCTTATTGTTTGAGAAAGCAATATGTGATGTATGAGGTTTTTGCTTTTTTTCCCACATGGACTGCTACTGTATAGCGTTCAGTCGTGAGATATTGTAGATTAAATGAATGAATGAATGTTAAAGGACGGCAACCTGTGCTGTCTCAAGGAGAAATACTCGTTTTCTAACAAACAGCTCCAAGTTCCCCTTTGGTGCAGTGAGGGAGAGGTGTGTTGGACACCTTGCGGGAATTTATAGGATGTACCCGATGTTTTAGAAAGAGTGTGCGTGTGCAGGTTTGTTTTGCCCTACAGCTCTGTGTGTGTGTGTGTGTGTGTGTGTCTGTGTGTGTGTGTGTGTGTGCGTGCGTGCACATCAGGTGGGTATGGGGAACAGATTAATAATAGATTTGACCTGAGTTAGGGGGGAAACAGAGACAGCAATAGAAAGTTGAGGCTATATTTAAAAATTGCAGAGTCACACATGCACAATGAACACAAAGATTTTCTGCAAGAGGCTGGGGGTCAGGAGCAAAAGAATACACACTCTCTCTCGCTCTCTCACACGCACACAGCCATATTCCTGACTCTTAGTCATAACTGCTGCTTGTCTTTGGCTCAGAATTGTCACAGTCTGATAACTATTCTGCTCAGTGTTGCTGTAGCACAAAAGCATACCTTCTCTATTAGATTTGTGACCTGTCGCTGGTTAAGAGCTATTCATCTCATCATCCTGTCTTCTTTGTTTATTTTTTGTTTGATCCACGTTCCCATTGCGTTTTCCTTACTGCAGAACCTGTGCATATACCTTCAGTGCTTTGCAACATGGTGTCCTCACATGCTCTACTCTCTCACACACTCAATAAGACAAAAATATTCAACATTATCCTGAGATAACCTCCTGCGTGTATGCACCTGCAGGAGTAGTCGGGAGAGCAATGCATCAAGAGTTAATTAGGGCTTCAACTTGTTGGCAACTCCCAAACTTTGAATTGAAGTGAACTCAGTGAATTTCCATTACCCGGGGTTACTTTTTAATTCGGAGCTCTGCAGGTAAATGACCTCAGCTAGGCTGTAGTGGAAAAAAACTGCCAACAAAAAAAATAAAATGAAGTAAACCAAATATTTGCATTCAACCTTTAACTTTAGGCCTTGTGTTTGCCTTTATTTGTTGTTGAAAGGTTTCAAGTGACATGCAGATGACTGAGAAAAATAACTAACTAATGGTTAGTGAAATGGTTCAGTGCTATAAAAGTGACAGTAATCATGCGGATTGATTCTATTTCCAGAAGCCTACTTAACTTTATTTGGCTCAAAAATCCATCAGTGTCCTGTGTTAATACCTTTCGATCTATTTTGTTGCAGGGGGAATACAGCTGTGATATGTCAATTAACAAATGTGTTATGTGTTTTGTGTATGAAATACAAGTGAAGTCTATATTTCCAATGGTTGAACTCGAAAGTAGGAGCTTATGAGAGAAGCATTTGAAGGCAGCACGCCCCCCCCCCCGCCCCCCGCCCTGAGGGAAACTCATTCAGCCTTCATGAAACGCCAAAGTGTAGACTGGAAGGAAATAGAGGCGGGACGTCTCCGCCCTGAAAAGAGGGAAGAAAACAATCTTCAGGATGGAAATCTCCAAGAGGAGGAATGCGGTGTAGTTCGATTACCTGTTTTGCCGAGGAACCTATAGCGTCTCTCCTTGTCGCGATTCGGGAAATAAAGCGCCCCTATGAAAGACAGAACGACCGCTTTGACGTGTAAGTAGGCTGCATATTCATTTTAAACCGACCGCGATGTGTTTCCCCAATCGAAATACAAGTCTCTGTAATATTCTCACGAGAGCCATATACTCTTGTAGGGAACTCTAGGTCTATATGGACTTGGTGTTCTTGTCGTTACCAGCCTATTGTGATATTTATAGCTTCTCTTTTAAGGGTAAAGCTAAAGCTCCCTAACCTACTTTCTGTGCGGTTGGGAAGAATTCAAGCACTGGAAGACATTGGCCTACTTGGGGGTGTGCTCCATTCACCCCATAATCCCTTGATCTGGATTTATGGTGCTGTTATGTATGGCAAAGCCTCCCTGATAAGGGAGTATGTTAAAAGTGCCAGAACCTTGGCAACTCTCTTTTGCAACTTGTTCTTGAGCCTTGGCGCTGCAGGCAATGAAATTAGAACCCCTTCAGATCTGAAAGGTTTGTTTGTGTTCTCTGGAAACTGAAGTGTATGGTAACATAGCTACTGGTGTATGCTTTTTTTCTCTAGGCAATTAAGACAATGAGAACCTGTGAATTTATACAGGTTTTTGGTGTTTTTACGTAATTGCCATTGTTGTATTTTGTTTGTAATGTGCATCAAAGTTGATTGTTTGCATTGTGTTTCTTTTTTTTAAAGAAATTGTGCGGCGCCAATTGTTTTTCTATGTATCCTTCCTTTTTACGCACGGTTATCAATAATAAATGTTATGTTATACCTTCTTGCATATTTACATTCCACTCAGGCGTGTTGATAAAACTTGAATAGGTGCCTTACATAACCGTATACGTAACTGAGCCCGTCTGCTCATCTGTGTGCCAGCGCGCAAAACGAGAAACGAGTGGCAATCTTTCCAAAATTTCATGCTGATCATCACATTAGAGCGCTTTGACTGCTTTTGAGAGCCAGGTCGAAACAGATTGTGGGTCTGATCTGTCTTTTTTTTCGTTTGAGTTGGATGCAGTCAGAAGTTTCCCCGTCTGTACTTTTCCACTACCAGCGTCTTTTTTTCTTGGCATCGGGCCCTCCTCGGCTCAGGCTCTCCCTCTCGTCGATACCAAGGGAACCTGCGTCACTCCCGGCGGTTTAAACTGAAACACAGCCAAATGGTGAAGCCGATATGCCAAGTTAGGAGGTTATTTGTGATTATTTCTACAGGACAAGGTTGCAATCCCAAGAGGGTTAGACGGGGAGCATGGATACACTGTTACAACTGGAGCTTGGAGAATAATCCCGAATCACGTGAATTGTTCACTTTTTGTACAGTTTATTCTGTGCTCCTGGTACATTGAGGGTCCCCATGTGTCACTTACTGGACACATCTGGATATCAGTCGCCTATATAATTTCTTTTCAGCTTTGTGTAAACTGAAATGTTTCTGTCTTGGTGACAAGTTCAGACTGTGTGACACGTGGGATGTTAAGCAAAGTTGCCATGGTGTTGCCTTTCCATGGCCTTTCAGTGCGTTGTGGGAAAGAACTTATTTATTTTCCTATTATGTTTTTTTTTTTGCCGCAAGCACATCGTGAGGCGCGGCTATGACGTGCAAGGAGCGCAACGGCCTCTGATTGGCCGAGCATAGGATCGATCATCTTCTCACGATCCATTTAGCTGAAAGAGATGTTTGCAGAGGATCACGCCCACCAGGGGGTGTGGTTGTGTGGAGCAACTCCTCCCCAGCCTCTTATAAAGCAACAAGCCAAAGGCATGATCGTTATATCTTATGAGTTCAGAGCTGCCGTTCTACTCATCACATCATGACGGTGAAAACAGAAACGTCTGTCCTGACTTACTCAAAATCTAGAGGGATCGTGGCATTAGTCACAGGTATGGAATCATAACTATTTAAAGGCGATTCTTCACCACATGTATGGACTACTTTTTGCTTTTTGTATAAAAATCGAAACATTCCTTTTCTTTCTTTTTTTTGTGTGTTGCAGCTTTTATGAAACAGAGGAGGATGGGTCTGAACGACTTCATTCAGAGGCTCGCCACAAACTCCTACGCCTGCAAGCAGTGAGTACCATCGGACTCATGTTATTGTTCTGCATTCACTGGAGGACAAATCATTGTGACACGCAACCAGAAATGCCGGTTATTTGTCCTCTGGAGAAGCTTTGTGTCTCAGTGTGACTCACAGATCAGCCGATTCACATAGAAACAACAACAAAGTGTGGATACTTTTGATGCTTTGTTGAATGAACTAAGAATGAACTCTTTCTTTTTTCAGTCCCGAAGTTCAGTCTATTATGAACCTGAGTCCTCCTCAGGATACTGAGCTCATGAACACCAACCCCTCTCCTCCTGTAAGTATATTTGCATTAAACAGTGAATTGTGTGCTTCCTCCTTTGTTTACATTTCACCGTATGCAGAGATACACACGCATATCCTCTGTTTACATGTTTATCATACATTTCGGGGTTCATAATGTGGCTCTAACGTCCTCATCTTCTCCCCCTCTCTCAGCCCAGTCCATCCCAACAGATCAACCTCGGTCCGTCCTCCAACCCTTCAGCCAAACCCAGTGACTTCCACTTCCTGAAAGTGATCGGCAAGGGGAGCTTCGGCAAGGTCCTGCTGGCCCGCCACCGTGCCGATGACCAATTTTACGCAGTCAAAGTCTTACAGAAAAAGGCCATCCTCAAGAAGAAGGAGGTAAATGTGGATGCAGTCGTGCTAAAAGTACACACGCGACAAAAAGGGGTCTCCTTGTCAAGCTCTCTAACCCCGTGCTCTTTGCATTCCTCAGGAAAAACACATAATGTCAGAGAGGAATGTGCTGCTGAAGAATGTCAAGCACCCGTTCTTGGTTGGCCTGCACTACTCTTTCCAAACAACGGACAAACTCTACTTCATCCTGGACTACATCAACGGAGGAGAGGTGAGTTACCGGCTGAACTGCTGCCAGTGAAAGATAAGGATGATGGAGGAGAAGCAGATGAATGAATAGGGTAGAAGGACATTTTAATGATGGCTATAGTTGGAGGAAGAAGGGAAGTTTTAAGAGGAATAATGTAGTGCCAGAATCAGAGATTAATATGAGGCAGAAACACAGACAGAAAGAGGGGATATCCTGTCATGTGAATCAAAATAGAAGTTGCCACTCTCTTGTCTTTCTGTCTGTAAAGGAAACGCCTCTCAGGAAATCACGGGGTGGGTTGGGACAGCGGGAGAGACTCTGGGCCAAAATTAGCAGCGCCTTTCAGACTCGGTGTGTGTCTAATCCAGCTAATTTCCTGCGATTGTTGGACGAGCAAAGACAGTGCTGATTAAATATGGGACACATTTACTTTCCTTCTCCCCTTTCTCTTTTCTTCCCCTCTTTCCCCCCTCTATCATGCTGCTCTCTCACTCCACCTCTGGCCCTCGTCTCATCTGTCTTCCCTTGTCAAACTTTTTAAGCCTTCCTGCCTCTTTACTCTCATCCGGTTTCCTCTCTGTCTCCGTATCTGTCTTTTTATCAATGTTCTTCCAATATCTGTTCTTTGCTCATGCTGATAATCTATATCGGAGACACTCGATACATAATCAAGACATTTTAAGTTTTGTTATTAAAAATATATCTTTTTTTTCTTTGTCTTCCAGTTGTTCTACCACCTACAGAGAGAGCGCTGCTTCCTCGAGCCCAGAGCCAGGTTCTACGCAGCAGAGATCGCCAGCGCACTGGGCTACCTCCACTCCCTCAACATCGTCTACAGAGACCTGAAGCCAGAGAACATCCTGCTGGACTCACAGGGTCACATCATTCTCACAGATTTCGGCCTCTGCAAGGAGAACATTGAACCCAATGGGACCACGTCAACCTTCTGCGGTACACCAGAGGTGAGGACAACATATTCCGGTGATTCCGAATTTGACAGCCCTCTGTAATATTGAGTAATGTAGCTTACCACTTCTCCGTGTCTTTTTCTGTCGACAGTATTTGGCACCTGAGGTTCTACACAAGCAGCCGTACGACAGGACGGTGGACTGGTGGTGTTTAGGAGCTGTTCTCTATGAGATGCTCTATGGCCTGGTGAGTGACATTGACATTCACCTCACGTGATTTTATAGTAAAGTTACACCGCCTCCTCAATTTTGTCTTAAATGTCAGAAATATTCTCTATAATATCGAGTGATACTGTACGCAGTGGTGCAATCTTATCTCACTTTTGTTCCACGTGTTTGCACATGCATGATTTAAAATGACGCAATCATGTGGATTCCTTGCTCCTTCTTGTTGGCCAAGATGCTAATCGGTTCTTCTTGTCCCTTCCCCAGCCTCCGTTCTACAGCCGCAACACAGCGGAGATGTACGACAACATCCTGAACAAGCCGCTGCAGCTGAAACCCAACATTTCTAACGCAGCCAGACACCTGCTTGAGGGCCTTCTTCAGAAGGACCGAACCAAGAGGCTCGGCTGCACAGACGACTTTGTACGTGCTTGGTTATTTAGTTGTATGTGTGTTTCTGTAAGAATTCATATTTAAACATTATGTGCGTTAAAGGACATTATTTAATTATTCATCATTTGTGTCTCTTCACAGACTGAAATTAAGAACCACGTATTCTTCTCCCCCATCAACTGGGATGACCTCAATGCCAAAAAGATCACCCCTCCCTTCAACCCCAACGTGGTACGTTCCTTTTTAATACCCAAATAGGTGTTGATTATGGCAGATTTAGGATTTTCTACAGTATAGTAGCCAAGGACCACAGACTTGCTATTGTCTTAGTCCTCAGTATTTACATTTACACAACTAGATCAACTAGTGTGAATTGTCGCTTGGGAATTCACACATTACCAGATATGGCGAGGTATTTTACAGCCTGACTAATCCCTACTTGTCCCCCCCCCCCCTCTCCTTCCTCCCTCCCAGACGGGACCTAACGACCTGCGACACTTTGATCCAGAGTTCACAGACGAGCCGGTGCCCAGCTCCATCGGCTGTTCCCCAGACAGCGCGCTCGTTACAGCCAGCATCAAAGAGGCTGCTGAGGCCTTTGTGGGCTTCTCTTACGCCCCATCTATGGATTCCTACCTATAGGATTTAAACACAGGCCATTGGCGGACACCAATTCAGACTTACAGGACATGGAATGTGGTGTGTCCACGCACTTGCATCTTGACCCCACCTTACATTTACAATTGGGGTGATACATTTTTCTGAACCAACCCCTGCAGCAACTCCGCATCTGCAAAGAATTGAAACATGTGTACTTGTCATAATTTCTCCAACTCTTAAAAAGAAGACGTGCTGCAAGAGGAAGCCTGCTTTCTTTAGATGACTCATTGAGGTCGTAATCCTCCATCTTACCCTGATTACCCGCACGATTCCTTCAATTTTCCACAACAAACACAAACTGCAGCCTTCAACCGCCCATCTCTTACCCGATAGTGGAGGTCCTTTGCACATAGCTCAGGCAGCTTAGAAGCCCCCCCCCCCCCCCTCACCCCTGAACCGACAAGCACACACACACACACACACACACACACCAACTTCCACCTTCTCTCAAAAGAGGAAGGCTGCACCCTACTGTTCCAGCCCTGACGTGTATTTCCATCCTCATCTATGTAGACAGTCTTTTGAGATTCTGTCCAACCACCCACGGGGGAGCTTCCTTTTGAGTTTTCAATAAGTAGACATGACATTCATTTGGTGCTTTGGTTTCTTCTCATTTACTTTCTGTGTGGTTGAAAAAGGGACTTATTTGAAGCTGAATGTTACAAAGGGGGATCTTTTATTTATTCTCTCAAATGTGCCTTTTATTTATTTTCTCTCCATCAGATCTCGCATATTTTGGGTTTGTCTGCGTCGACCTTAACGTTACCACGTTTCATATCACTTTACACCTGACTTTTTAGGTTACCAGAGAGGAACGGTGTAGCACCAAATCAACACACCTGTTGCAGCAATAACGTGAGACGTAGAGAACTTAAACAATGTTTCATATCTTCATTTGCACATAAAACAATAATGGTGATAGAGAGAGAAAGAGAGAGCACGGCTGCTAGGTGACTAAGAGAGTGATGTGTTCAGGAGTGTGTGTGTAGTTCTGCTTGCCAGCTGTGTCCGCCTTTTGTGGTCTTCCATTCACCTCACGGCGGCCGGCGGCCAGGCTGACGACATCGAAAGTGAACATTCCATTTTAATATTGCTGTAATGCAGTTTGATGGTATTTAAGTTTGTTTGTATATTTGAGTTATGTGTACTAGTTTTAATGTATATTATTGAACAAAAACTGACTTAAGGTATGCTTAAATATATATATATATATGTAACAATTCATGTTAAATGTACTGTAAATTTAAGATTTATGTGACCATGTCTGGTTTGCAATAAAAGTTTAACTTTATTACACCGTATAACCTTGTTTGTCATTTTTTTTTAATTGATTTTCCTTTAGTTTGACATTTGCAGATCATTTTTTACAAAACCTTGTCTTGACATTGCACCAGCGTCTATAGAAGGTAAGCACATCAAAGCATCTTTAAGTTATAGAGTAAACATGTAGAGAATAATCCGGTTAACGTTGACTATTCCAGGTTGGAAGGAGCTTGAGCTACTGGCCACTGGCAAACCTCCCACATTAGAGTAAAACGGACTTTACCCCCCTCCATGCGTCAGCAGCTTTACACAACAATTACTGTGATGTCCAAATGTCTGTGTGTGTCTGTGTGTGTGTGTGTGTGTGTCTGTGTGTGTGTGTGGAGGGGTCAGTTTGTGGGCAAATTATTGGCTGGCCTCAGATAACGCAACTCCAGGTTAAAGCATATTAATGATCCAGAGCAGAGTTCCATTGCACTAGAAGATAATTGATTTTATGAAGCTAAAGCTACAATTGCATGAATGATAATTCAAGTAGAAAATGATGTATCGTGTCTTCAATAAGATTACAGCAGGGTGTTTTGTTGACAAGTGACAATGCCTTTCTACTGGAGCTAAAGGTTGTGTTCATAGTTAGTTGTGTCTGCTGGGGTGTCTTTAAAGAGGACTCTGAATGTCGACCAGATGCAGGGGCTTATTGTGCAGATGACCTCTGACCTCAAACTCCCTGGGAAGTGGGTAAAATGAAAAAAAGAGTTTTATCACAAGGCTGTACATTATAAGAGTGTTGGAAAGGTGTTTTGGTGGAAACCCATACAATTTTTAACACGGTGGACTTGTCCAGACAACAGTTTGATATTGTTGGTCTGAGAAGTTGCTTGAAAATTCAGTGAGTCCAGTTCAAAATATCCACACGAGATTTATCAACATAAATATAATTGGGGAAAATGTTATCTTTTAAAGTAACTTCACATCTTTTTTAGAATTTAAAAATCCTGACATCTTTCAAACTTATTTTCTTAAAATAAATATCTACACAAAGCCAGTATTGTGTTACAGACAGTCAAATTGTATTGGGCCAAAGATATTCTATAATGTTTCCAGATCTGCTCAGCAGCAATAGTCCTGCACTGCCATCTGCTGGCCAAGTCTTGAACTGATGAAGTAAACCAGTTGCTCTTACTTCAAATATGACATGACAGACATCGTGCTTTTGTTCGAGCAACTTCAGCTTTATCAACCCTCAATTACTTATTATATTTAATACGTGATCATAAAGAAAACTGTATCTATGCCTGTAATGAATATGTATGTATAATGTACGTGTCACATTTTAAAATGTGGTGGCAAACATATATATTTTTTCACATTTGTAAACATAAACATTCTAAGTGGAACCATACGTGTTGCATTTGTCTTTTACTGATATTTTACATTTTTTTACGACATAAAATTAAAAAAATGTAATGACATATTTTACCACATCAAATATTATGACTTTTTATGATATATTTTCTGACATACCATACTACGAGTTTTTAATTATATTTTTCCTGCAATACTCTGACTTTTTGTATGACATTTTACCAACATACAACAATAAGACATTTTAATTTCCACAACATTGTTTATAAAAAAAATACCCTGTCTGTATATATACTATTTTAGTATTTTAATTCTTTAGTTATGCTTAGTTACTGTGGATTTTTTTACTTTTTTACTTAGTTGATACTCTTACTGTTTATTACTTATTTACTTATTTATATTACTTGTTGCTCTTGTTTTTTTACTCTGTATCTTGTGTGCACTGTCCACTTCGCTGCTGTGATCCTGTGAATTTCCCCACTGCGGGACTAATAAAGGATTATCTTATCTTGTTTTGTTACTATTACACGATGACTTTGTTATGTATTTTTTGAATATTAAAGCTATATAGTTTATTTGTAGTAAAAAGTATTTGATTAAATGGAAGTGTGTTAGTAGTATCGCTCTAGCACGTAGTGCTCATATGTGTGCATGTGTCTACTGAAGCACCCTCCCACCTCAAAACCTAAAGGTGTAATTCAAACATCGAATAAGTATCCAAAAGAAAACATAGGCTACAATAAAATATGATGCATTAAGTGTCTCTAGTGTGACCACAGTTAATAATTATCTTTATTGTCCTTGGTGAATATTGATTTAATAATATAACTTTCTAAAATTGTATTCATTTTGGTGGTGCATCTGGTTCATGAGTACTACACCACTCAATGTGGGGTAACAGGAGTTCCACAAGGTGGCACTGTTTTACTTTTTACTTGGTGTCTTAACTTGTAATGAAGCATGCTTATTAAAATATATAACTCATCTCCCGTTTTCTATCAAGTTGTCTACCACTTTCAATCAGTTAAAATAGCTTACTTCAGGATATTTCATTGTAGAGGCAAGTGTGATTTTAAATATTCTTGGTTTGACTCATAATGGAGTGTTTTTACAATGTGGTTCGGTCTATACTTAAAGGATCTATCTACTTCAAATCAAGTTTGACCTTTTATACCATCAATATGTGTGTTTGCTGATTATGTTGCCACTATTTTCTTGCTGAGTGAGTAAATCTTTAATTGTCTTAAATTAAGAAGAAAAAGAAGCCTCGCCATCACAAAGTTTATTTGACTTAGTGCAGCTTAGTCATGTCCCTGCTGAGACACAGCATTCCTAGATAGTATTTAAGCAACGCTAAACCGAGATAAGAAATGACTTTCCATAGGACCATTTACCTTGTCAACCTGTTGTATAATAATAAGTGATTATTTGCTGACATATTAATGACCATTACAAGTAGGCCACCCATAGTTATCTTGGTTACTGATTTATTACACAACACACACCTACACAAAGCTGCCTTTGTAAAGTTAACTGAGGATGAAATGGCAGATCAAAAACAGGTCACTATAGGTCATGTCTGAATCTCTAAATACATTTCCAGAAAGGAGGGCCAAACGCAGAACGTTGCATGCACTTAAGGATACATTCTGTCATCTGTGAAGCTGCAGGGCAGGTGTGACAGCTCAGTCCCGCAGCATTCATAGAAACAGGACATGCACCTGCCCCGCAGCATTCATAGAAACAGGACATGGGAACCGAGCAAAACAGCAGGTGGCCACCCTGTTTGTTTTCACATGCAGTATCAGAGAAAGACCATGATTGATGCAGGTGTAGTTACTTTAAAGTGACGATCACTGCAGAAAAAGAAAACAAACGCTTCATAATTCTTTCTAACGACGACTGTAAACTATACAAAACAGCACAGAGAAAGATATGCATATCACTAGTAATTAGTCTCTTCATAATGTAGCACAAAGAAGTCATATTAGCCACACTCTTCTATTACAAATGCATTGAACAATACATAGTGTCAGCTTGACACGTTTGAACCAATAAGGATCTATGCTAGGCGTTTCAAGACTTAATACACGTTTCTAATTGGTGGTTTGGCCAGACATGGGCGGGGCTAAAGAAGTGCTTTAGCAAAACAAGTTGCGTGTGTGCACCGACACGAGAGAGAGAAGAGTTGGGAGTAGAGGTAGAGCGAGAAAGTTCCGAGGAAGAAACCGAATGACCGGTACACACGAAATTAAGATAAGAACAGAAACACCGCTGGGTTGTCAGGTACGGAAGTGTCACATTTGTTAATACGTTGCCTGAAGTGAAACTTGTCCTGAGGCGAAATTCGCTTAAGTGTCACGTGAAATAGGGGACAAGTCCCATATTTGAAGTGATTGTGTTAGAAAGTGCTGCTAAATTTGGTTTTCCTTGGTGGTCTTTGCTTTCTGGCTTCCACAAAATGACCTTGCAACATTTTAGCTCAAGTCGGGGACAGAAAACTAAAACAAAAACACAGAAAATGAAGTCTCATTCAGTAGTCATTACATATAAATATATCAATTATGACCATAAGGTGCTGCTGTGGGGAAGTGCCCAGCTGTTTATACCGATGCGCTCGTGCATGTACACTGACAACGTTTTTTTTAGTTTATGATTTAGACCAACGTTTTTTTACTCTGCATAATTAATGATGTTTCTTTGTTTGAATGTGTTGGTTTGTATCTGCTTTTATCAAGGTCTACTGGTAGAGGTGGTTGACAATGGACCCCAACAGTGAGACCAAGATTTTGACTTCTAACCCCTCTGAGACCCAGAACCTGGAGCAACAAGGAAGCACAGGTACACAAAAAGAGGGCAGTATCATTTTTTTTATGAGATAAAGGATCATGTTTTTTATGAGATAAAGGATCATGTTTTTTTTAAGGTGGATACAAGTCTACACCCTACCTCCCTACAGCGTGCACTCCCTGAAATCGGTAACTTGGACCGATATAAAAAGAAAGTCCCGTGCAAAGTTATCCAGATAAATCAGTAAACCAGATCTTGCAACATGTCATTCAACTAAAACTAGAATGTAGTTTGCTGTTTCTTAAACACTGATTTATGATGAAGCCAAAAATTGTTTATAACTTTTTATATGCCTTGTGTCACTCTAACCTTGCTGGCGTTATACCAAATATGTCACATGCACTCATCACAAACAGCTTGTCAACGGGCACAGATTAAATCTATTGCACGGACTAAATGGAGCATGTGGAAGAGGAGCTCGTAGACATCTGGACAGGACTCAGAGAGGAATCAGAGCATAGTTTCTGGGAGTTTTTCCAGCCAATCCATTCTGGATACACGGCGAAAATATTACAAACAATAATTGAGGATTTAAACTGACAATACTGGGTATTGCTATCAGGAGTGAATAAGTAGGATTGGTTCAGCCCTAGCTGTTTCGTGGCAGAACATAAATTAAAAATGTTGCACAACAAGTTAATTAGTTAAGTTAAAATGGAAATTGGAGCAGGAACTAGGCCAACATAGAGGCAGTTTTGAGTACTTTGGCAGTTGTCTGTCTATGCACAGACTTTGTCACCGCGATAGCATCCCGACCGTGCAAGATGCAGTCTCGAAACTTTACAGATGTGTGGCTGAGATCCAAATAAAGCTGAGTTTGAAGATGGGTGTGGTCCGAGCAAGGGCACCGAAAGTAGGAGGGTAGACAGTGGGGAATGTGCCTTTGGCCCCCACCACTTTTTACGCCCCTGGTCCGATTTGATCCCAAGATGCTCTCTGGTGTTAAATGTTTCAGGAAGAAACCCCAAATAGAAATGTAACTACAGGTCAATGACACAGTAGCCGAAAGTCTCAATACAAGAGAGTACAGTCGAACATGTTCAATATTGCAAGCCCGTTCATACATAATGTTTGTTATGGAAAAGGATTGAGAGAGGGGTATGAAGTGCAACAGTCAAAGCAAATGACTGTATAGGACCCCGCAGTTTGCAGCTGCATCTCTGTTTTTCCTGCATGTTGCGCCATGAGAGTTACATTAAAACAAAATGAAAAAAAGTCTCCCTTGCAGGATTATTAGGACAATTGAAATTAAATAAAGTCCACAGCCTGTTATAAAAATGGACGTAGCAGGTTTAAACAACCATAATTCAAGTGCAGTCTCCTTTATTCAAAGCTGTACTTCAGCAATATAGCAAAACAAGTACAAGGATCTATTGTGAAGTTTATGACATATGAATATCAAAAGGCCATGCATATCACAACAGTTAATATATATATATATATGTGTGTACATGCTAAGCTCATCAGTTTTGCTCCATTCAGACTTTTTTCTTTCCTATCTCTCTAATGATAAGGAACATCTGTCAGCTCACAGTGATACATTCAAAATAAAACGTGTCGGCTTAAGCCGCTCATACACTCAATGGCTCACAAGACTGCCTCAGCATTCTTCTTGTGAACTTCTGACCTCTAATTCCGCATAGTCAGCAGTTTTAAAGTGACTTCTAGGTCGGGGGGAGAAAAAGCTGTGACTCTGCCAAAAAAGTTATGACACACAGTTCCTTCAAATAAATTACAATATGTTTTTACTTTTGTGACCATTTACCACTTCCCGTCCCCCTCTGACATCATGCTGTCATGTACGTACTGTACCTGTTCTGATGGGTGATTTAGGTCCTCATTTCATTGTGACTCATTTCTTCGACTGAAGGTTTGTTAGTGGAGTGTTTTTGGTGAGATTATCACACCGTTAACCTGATATCTGCAACTGCACATGCATCGAAATTCTACGAGCTTTAAACAAGAACACTCACTCCAAACATTACAAAATTTTGCGAGAAAGTTGCCAAGTCAGCAACACTGACAGCCATTCCCTTCAGGCCTCCCGCCAAAGCCACTTCCCCAAAAGGATCGTTAATAAGATAAACATATAACTAGAAATGTGCTGTAACCATGACTTGACACGTTATCTCACATCCTCTGACTCGCCCTCTGCCCCTCTCTCCAGGCAGCAGCTGGCTGTTGCTGGTAGCGGCTGGAGCGGCCTCTCTGAGCGGCCTGATGCTGGGCTATGAAATGGGCGTGACCTCTGGAGTCCTGCTGCAGCTGCGGGGCCTCCTCCGCCTCTCCTGCCGAGAACAAGAACTGCTGGTCAGCTCCCCCCTGCTCGGCGCTCTCATCATCTGCCTGGCTGGGGGTCCCATATTGGACCGCTACGGCCGGCGCTGCTCTTTGCTCCTGAGCGCGGCCCTGGTGGTCGGCGGGAGCATCGTGCTCATCGCGGCCAGCTCGCTCATCACGTTCACACTGGGCCGGGTGATAGTCGGCATGGGAACGGCGCTGTCGGGGTCAGGAGCGTGTCTGTACATTGCGGAGATCTCACCGAGGGAGAGGAGGGGCCTGCTGGTGACGCTGTACGAGTTTATGTTGGTTGTGGGTGTGATGCTGGGATTCAGCTGTAGTTACGCCTTCACTACTCTGCCCCATGGCTGGGCGTATACGTTCGGGCTGGTAATCCCCCCGGCGCTGCTGCAGATCAGCGTACTTGTGTTCCTCCCACCGAGCCCACGCTTCCTGGTCACCCAGGGTAAAGTGGAGCAGGCCAGGACAGTGCTGGCCCGAATGAGAGGTGGGGCCCCGGAGCATGTGGAAAAGGAGCTCTTAGACATCAGGACAGGAATTAAAGAGGAATCAGAGCATAGTTTCTGGGAGTTGTTCAGTACCAAGGCCAACTTGCGCTCCCGACTGCTCACAGGTGTGGCCTTAGTCTTCCTCCAGCAGGCTACCGGTCAGCCCAACATCCTCTCCTACGCTTCACCGCTTCTCCGCAGTGTGGGCTTCGACAGCGACGCCGCAGCAACCTTGGCCTCCACGGGGTTCGGAGTGGTCAAGGTAGTTGGCACCATCCCAGCCGTGTTGCTGGTCGACAGCGTGGGAACCAAGAGCTTTCTGTGTGGGGGTGCTGTCGCAATGGGAATGTCGCTGGTTGCACTCGGTGCATTAACGCACCAAAGCCACACTAACCTCACCAGCCTGTGCACAAGTCACACTACATTAAACCACACACGTACAGCGTGGGATTTAAACGAAACCTCTGTAGACTTGGGAAACAGTGACATTTTTTTAACTGACCTCCCCGAACAGTGGAGCAGCGAGGAGTCACAGCGGACTACCAGAGCAGATGATGGGGTCGGGGAGTCGGGAGGAGGAAGCACTTATGGAGGAGGGTCCTCCTTACTGAAGTGGGCGTCACTGATCAGCTTGCTGGTGTATGTGGCAGCCTTCTCCATTAGCCTCGGGCCAAGTAAGCACCAAACCAGTCAGCGTGTTTAGTACAAAGTACATACATAAATATCTTACATACACATCATACATACAGGTTAAGTTGAAATGCTCCAGTTTCCCAGATAAAGAAGTGTGGACTCTGATGTAAAAGCCTTCAACTCCCCACACACAATTGTCAAATATCAAAATTCTACAATTCTATTCTGGATCATGTTATTTGTATTTATGCGTTATTAACCATGTTCACTTACATCCCTGAAAGTGTGTCTATGTGTTTTCTTTCCAGTGGTGTACGTGGTGCTCAGTGAGATCTTTCCAATGGGAGTCAGAGGCAGAGCTGTTTCTGTGGTGTCGGCTGTAAACTGGGCCACTAACCTGCTCATCTCCATGACCTTCCTCACAATTACAGGTGTGTGTGTGTGTGTGTGTGTGTGTGTGTGTGATATTAGTTACATTTAATAATTGTAGGTTCAAGTTAATTTGACTGAAACTGTCTCTGACATTCACTAGTAGATCCGTTTCTGTTCTGCAGATGATAATTGCAGGTAAACAAACATTTGAACCACTGCACAGCTTTATGCTCTTCAGTTTGTATTTCCATATGTTGTCAATAACAGGCAAAGAAATAGGAATCTAGCAAACTCTATAATGTTCACAGCCAGAGATTTTGTACAAAACCGGTTTCATTGGTATGCTCTCTGAAGAAAAAAGGTGTGTCTCACCTTTTTTCCTCCTGCTCGTCAGTCTCACTGCTCATCTGTTGTGGAGCCATAATACTGCAAAGTATACTGTATAGTGTATAGGATTTGCAAAATAGGAAGACCCCGAAAACAGTCAAGGCTTGACCTGATTTGCCAATCTTTCTTACTTGTGAAGTACCTCTAAACTTCATTAAAACATCTGTCGCCAATCGAGCCAACTATGCATACTAATGAGGAGGCGAGGTCACAGCACGCAAAACATACACGTATGCTGCCTGAGGTCATGCGCGGACATTTAAGGACACATTTCTTCACTGTTATCTTTCCAGAAAAGATTGGTGTGGCCAACGTGATGTTCCTCTACGCTGCCATGAGCTTTGTTCTGCTGGTGTTCGTCATCTTCTGTGTCCCCGAGACCAAAGGTCGCACGCTGGAGGAGATATCGAAAGAACTGGCTAAGAAGTAAATGGCAGCTTACACGTGATCTTAACGTTGTCAGTGTATCTAATAAACTGATTTGTGGAAGTGGAAGCCAGATCAGCAGCAGCACGACCACAGAGATTTCCGATAGTCCGACTTTTTTAACGGACCACAACCGAACACCTCACCTGAAGGAGAGCGGAGAGCAAAGGACAATAATATTAGCACTGTTAAGACTTTGGGGTACCACTCTTACATCTCACCCACATCTGTACTGTACATCCCTGGATTCCTATAATGACGTCGTTGTCATATAGTTCCTTCTTGCTACATGCTGTATGTATGTAAAGGAAAAGATCAACAGCAAAGGGATGGTGGAAATTGAATATATAGGAAATAATTAAATAATGGAGAAGTATGTGTGAATTTGCTCAAATGAGGATATCTCAGGGTTCACTCTTGCTTGTTAAAAAGCAGTAAAACAAAAAGATAAGAATAGGGATTGAATATATTTTATTGATTTAGTCCCCTTCTTTCTTTGTGTCCCTATTTAAGAATACAGCAGAAAGGGGCATTTTACCTTAAGACCAGGATAGAAATGACTCCCCACCAGCCAGCAGAACTAATGAAGCTCCTCGAATGAGTGCTCACACTGTACTGCTACAATGTTCTTTCCATTTTGACATGACATTGCGACGTCAGACATTATTTACATTTACAAACGAGAGGCCATCTTGCGGTGGGATCACACCAGCTGCAATGCCAAATTGGGCCAGGGGTGTAAAGAGGGGGGGGGGAATGACGACTAATGCCCCCTTCCCAACTTCCCACCCCCTTACATCTGACACCCTTGCTCGGACCACACCCACCTCCAATCTCAGCCTTCATTTTGATCTCAACTACACACCTGTGAAGTTTCCAAATCCAGTGAGTGGGTCAACGGCCTCTTCAACCTCTTCGTCTACACATCTGTAGAGTTTCACGACTGCATTTTGCACAACTGCGACGCTTCGCGGTGACGACATCTGTCAAAAAGACAGAAATATTAACACCTGGTAAAGTACTCAAGGACTGACAGTGGTAGTTGCTGCTATAATAGGTGGCCTGGACCACAAAGATTTGCTCTTTTGGACCATGGGGGAAAAAAATCAAAGATGTTCTAAATGATTAGACGCTAATCACTTCAAATGTATTCAACATTCTTTGGATTTCAAATGATTTCCTTTAACACAATATTATTTATATGCTGCTCCCTGTTTTATGTAATGTAACAACATTAACAGGCCTCAAACCAGTCATGCTGCAGAACAAACTGTCTACCACAATCTACACGGTGACCGATACATGGATAAAGACCACGGGTGTCTCTTTCTTTACATTTTATGGGAACAAGCAATCAATTTTCTCTGTTACTTGTGTCTGAGATGCCAAAATGATACTTAGGTGATTAACAGGAGGGATGTTTACTGCAGGAAAGAATGACTTGTGTGTGGACCTGTTCACAATTAAAATTGCACATTTTAAAATCTGTACTTTGATACCTCATCTTTTTTTTCTTGTTGGAAAATGTAGAAATGTATTTGTATTGTGTCACACTGAAAAGCTTGGATAGCCATTGAAAGTGCTTCAATGAGGACGTGATGACAATGAGAGTAAATCAGTAGTCCCGTGGTGGCGTTCTATCATCAACCTTTATTTTTATACAAAATACAAAATTCTGAACAAATGTCACAAATGCTCAGTTGACACTGGTTCAAAAAGTCCATCCCAAATACTGGAGACAACATGTCCAAGTCTTTTTTTTTAATCTTTTCCATCAGATCCAATACAGAAATCTACATTGCCTGTCATTAGGTTTTCACATTTAAAAACACTTAGGAAAGCTATATTCTATGAAGGTTTATTGTTAAGGTACTGGCTAATACTATAAGCATGGGCTCTTTGAACACTGTGCATAACATGCTCCTTCTAAAACTCAGATGAATGTACCGACAAACCTGTTGACGAGCAACAGTGCAGAATGAACTGCCATGTTTGACTTAACTGAATGGCTGCATTTGTAATTTTGAGTTCTTCACTTAAACATCACCAGAGTTTCTGTTCCTATGCAGCGATTTCCAAGACCAATTCTGGACAGAGTTTAATAACTTTATTCCTGCGCCAATTTTCAACGCCTTGACTTGTCTCATCCCAACTTTAGCCTGGGACTAACCAGTAGCTGTCTTAAGTGACAGACAGCTACTGGTTGGTATCAAGTATCTGCCTTTGACTTCAGACAGCATCCGGTTAGCCCAGTAGCCAGTAGTTGGCTTAAGTGAAAGCGAGTTAGGGATCTGTGGCTCAACACACCACCTGAAACATTAAATATCCTTTAACTTTTCAAAAAGTTTCATTACATTCCAAAACATTTATGACAGAGATCTTGATCTGTACATATTTCATCTTTACCTTGTGTTTAAAAACTATTGTTAAGAAATGAAATCAGATCATGTGTGTGCATTCTGATCCAATGCCACAGTTGAGAAACAAGAACATATTTATAGTGAACTAACCTAAGTAAGTAAGGAAACCAACCATTAAAATCAGATGAATGTATATTGTGAGTTATGGAAATGTCCATCTGCAGAAGGACCTGCTCTTACTCCGAGTCCACGTGTAACAGTCAAGACTTAGTCTGTGGTTAGACTGCTGCTTCCCTCTTTGGGCAGCACTACGAGGAACACAGTGGACGCCTTGTGTTTGCGTTGACGCGTCGACAAACGAGCCAATGGACGGAGAGCCTTCCAGAAGAAATTGGAAGATGTGACGTCGTCTTGTATAAAGGGTTAACGGTGAGGTTTCTTAGTGTTATCCTACGGTACTGATGTTTCGCAATGATCACAACTGCTAAGCATTGAAATGGTGAAGACTGTTAAAAAAAATGGTCTTTCTGTGTCCATGCAAAAAAATAAAAACAGCCAATTTACCAGCGACAGCGAATAACTGCCTCTACCTTCAGTGTCGTGTCAAGTTCGGTAGACCGGTTTCCCCCGAAGGATACGACGTTTAAAGACGTACTTGCAAGTTTAGGCTGTTAAAATCCCAAGAGCCACACAATCCACAACAGCAATACATTTTTGTGAGAGGGACATTTTAAGACTCCAACTGGGGTTGGTGGAGATTTTCTTTAAAAATCCAGGTGACACAGTCTGTTGATCGGGTTAGAAGTTTGTGGCTGTTGCCGCTTCGATCAAGCGAGTAAATCCAAGGATAAGGTGCTTCCTCAGTCATGCCTTCTCTTTCCTTCGATGCCTCCTTCTGCAACTTTGTCTTTTACTTGCAGCGGGGTCTCTGAACCTCGAACAGCAGTGGGTAAATCTCCTCAACAGCTGTGGCCACATTCTGCACATTTGGTCCTGAACCATGCGATAGGGATGAAAGCATAAGAATAAGCTTTGAGTACAATTAACAGCAAAAAAAAACAATAAACCCCATATACAGACAAATGCAGAATAGCAGCAGGCATAAACTATGTCACCCTGAGGGAAATGCCTTGAGGAATTGGGTTATTTACAAGCCGCTTTTCTGGTTGTAACGGACTACAAAAGTGCGTTGCGACAACACAACCTCAATCCCATAAGCTGGAGTGCCCTCGAACTGTTCGTGAATGAGGGTGAGAGAGTTTAGTCTGCATGTAGGTGTGAGAGGTACCTGTAACTGTGATGCTGCCAGTAGAGAACACCTGTACAGTAGCCTTTATGTGTTTGATCCTGTACGTGGCAGCAGGATGGAGCTCTGGTTCATAACTGACAAAAACAAACACTGTTAAGTATTGTACACTTCAGGCTTTCAGCACATAGAAAACAAGTACATACACAGCTTTGAGAGTTTTGCTATATATATATA